GAGACCACTCTAGGGCTGAAAGCACCCTAAATCTGAAAACTGAATTTGAACTTTGAACGAGCTCTTGTGCAATGTGAATGTGCACAGTCTTGCTCCTCAGCCCCCCTCAGTACCTGGCTCCATTGCGTCCTGTGACCTCCACCGTCTCTCCAGGGAAGAAGCGGTCTTTGACGAAGGCGTAGACATCCTCACAGACCTCTGACAGTCTGCAGCGGCGGCTCAGAGCAGCCAGGTGGAGCAGAGGGACCAGCAAAGACGGAGGGAAGCTCTGCAGGCTCTGCTTCGCCCGCCGCTCACTCTCCACTGCCTCCAGGTAGGTGAGGCCCGCCCTGCCCGTCAGAGCACAGCTCCACACCAGACTGTTGCACAGGATGGTCCGCTCGAAGAACTCACTGAGGAGACGGAACAGAGTGAGACCTCCTGTCACACAAATCTGATGATTTCATGTGATTCAATAAAAACATCACACTGACTTCAACACAAGAACTTTAAATAGAATCTTAAAGTGGTGAGTTTAAGAGGTCTGTGTCACAGACATCACAGTGGCAACAACACAGCTGTAAATAATGAAATTAATCAGGTGTCTCGTATCGTGCATGTTGGCTCACTGTCACTCTTACTGGGGCACTTGAACAGAACAGAGCCATCGTTAGTGTCATTATGAACTAGGGTTGCAATGGTATCAGATTTTCACAGTATGATAACCATCTCAGAAAATATATTGTAGTTTCACAGGAGCCTTAAAGGAATTAAAATGGAAGGGTTATTTTCTATTGCATGAACATTTTATTACTATACTTGAAACTTAAAACCATTTTGACAATGAAAGTTTGTGTAACAAGTCTTCCTTTTGAAAATAATTAAAATAAAGTTGAGATTTTCTGTCCAATCGCAATTTTTTCCCGATATTGTATGTTAGGAAATGTACACGGTATCATAACCGACAACTTTAATATCACTGCATACCTTAAAACCGGTATATCATTTACCTCCCAGTTAGACCCCCTTCCTACCCACCTAGTTAAAATCTGTCTACCTTCCCTGTCCTTGCGAATAACTGACATTACACACTCCTCCCTTACCTCTGGTCTTGTTCCGTCATCTCTCAAAACAGCTGCTATAACTCCACTTCTCAAGAAACCTGGTGCAGATCCTAACAATTTGAAAAACTTATGGCCTATTTCTAACTTACTCTTCCTTTCCAAAATACTCGAAAGAACGGTTGCTGCTCAGATACATGCCCACTTGTCAAATAACAATCTGTATGAACAATTTCAATCTGGTTTCCGCTCCTCCCACAGTACAGAGACAGCCTTGATTAAAATTTACCAATGACCTGTTGATGGCAGCCAACTCTTGGTGTCCTAACCATCGTGACTCTTCTCGACCTGAGTGTGGCCCTCGATACCATCTCACATCCCATTTTGTTAGAAAGCTTCCATCGGCATCACTGGCACTTCCCTCACCTGGTTTCACTCTTATCTCTCTGGCCGCACTCAGTATGTACACCTCAAAAATTACAGTTCCCAAGCTTCTCCTGTCAAAGCGGTGTTCCCCAGGGCTCTGTCTTAGGCCCTCTACTATTTATAATCTATCTGTTACCTCTTGGTCTGATTTTCAGGAAATTTGCCATTCACTTCCATTGCTACGCGGATGACACCCAGCTCTATCTTTCCACCAAGCCAACTTCCAATCTCCCGCCCCAAATTAAATCTTGGTTTTTACACAACCTTTTCAAACTCAACAGTGATAAAACTGAGGTACTCCTTGTTGGCACAAAGTCCATTCTGGCCAAACAGTTTCTCTCTCACCATTGACAACTCCACAGTCCTTCCCTCCCCTCAGGTTACGAGTCCGGGTGTCATCCTTGACAGCACACTCTCCTTCCATGCACACATTAACCATGTTACCCGGTCTGCCTATTTTCATCTACGCAATATCAACCGTCTTCGGCTGTCTCTCTCACCTCACTGCACTGCTGTTCTCATTCACGCTCTGGTCACATCCCGTCTTGATTATTGCAATTCTATCCTCTCTGGTCTCCCACACAAACGCTTTAAATAAAATGCCTTATTATTATTATTATTATTATTATTATTATCCCTATTATGAACACTTGTGCTTTTCTTACTGTGACCAGTCAACATGTCTGCTGGAGGAAAGATCCATCAGCAGCTACATGAACACAGAAGTCACTGATACATAGTCTGGACAGATATTGGCATCAGATCAACAGTTAAGAGTTCACATCAAGATTTTAAATTGTTCTTAAGTACTTTTCATATCATATGTCATCATGTTGTGTCATGCATCATACTTGTTATACAGCTTATTAAGGATGCACGATAATATCGGTGCATCATTGGTATCGGCCAATATCAGCTTTAAAATCAGAATGGGCCAACAAGCTTTTTCTTATTTCGCACAATGAATGAATATTACATACATTAAAGTATTGTATTTCATGTCTTCATCTGCTGGTGGGCTGTCATAAGAGTATGTATACATAATATGATGTTAATTCCACTACAGAAGAGACTTGATAATGACTAAAATTAGGTGGTAAAAAAGTGGATATATCGATACAGTTATCAGCCAAATACATTGTTATATATCAGGCATATCTGATATTTTTTTAAAATGACGTATTATATGAGTAGGTGTGTGTCCCAGTGATACATCTGGATAACAATCAATATATAATGATAAATACAGATTTATTATGGATATAGTATTTATGGTGCAGGTTTGGTCAGGTACGATTTGGAAATAACAGGAAAATATTTTTGATCCTGTTTCTTATTTAAAATTTTGCCCGGTATGTCTCGGTTACATAAGTTTTTCTTCTATCAGAATTTCAGCCTCCCAGCAGCACAAATCTGTTGCTCAGCAAAGATGGGAGAACCAGTGGCAATATTACTTGTATAAAAATCAGGCTTCAGATAACATATTAATGACATGTTATGACACTTGTTTCATGGCACTTGAGGATTACATCACCCAGCATACTGACACAACACTACTTCAATCTGTTAAAACAATATTTATAACTTGGATTCATTTTAATGAAAAACACTTTTGATTCATTTGATCGGTGGACCCTTACAGACTAGAGGAATATGAATAACTTACTTACTGGGTATTCGAGGAACAAATATTCACAGGACACATGTTCTGACTTTATGACAACTTCAGAGGAAGGGAGTCACCACTTGTCATTTCAACATGCCGGTAAATGTGAATGACTCATGGTTTTAATAAAATGAAATGAACCAAGCTAGTGATGTGTAGCATCTCTATATACTGTTAACGTTTGAACATTTAGCGTATATTTGTATGTGTGATCTAAACAGCTAACTTGGAAGGGACTAAGGGAGTAAATTAGCAGTTCTGCTAACTCTGGCATATTTACATCTGTATCTCATACTGATGTTTATTAATGTGCATTGTCCCTTCTAAATAAAGGTTTAAATAAATAAATAAATAAATAAATAATGCTAGCTCAAGTGGGTAGCCCAACAATCCAATTTTATACATCCAAACATAACTTCTATAATATATATATTTGCTAGTATGTAATAAATCTAAATGTTGGGGATTACAAAGAGGCTACATCCGAATATATAATCTTTCCAGTAAAAAGTCTGTATGTAGCCTAGTGTAGAAAATTCATTGTGTTGCTTTGCATCTTTCTGTCATGCAGGAATGGTTTCTTTATCTCTATAATCCAGTTCAAAACATTTGTTAGAAAAGTTATCAAAAAGTAACCAAATGTAATAAACTACATTAATTTGATAAAGTAAATAAAGTAGTAACATTCGATTTTTAACAAGGGAACTAGTAATTTGTAACCTATTACATTACAATTTTTTTTATATGTATAATTATATAATATTTTTTTCACATTACCATAATTCATGTTTCCTGTCTGATGTCAAACTGTCCAACATCACCTGTGTAGTGTGTCTAATTGAACCTGAGCAGGTGTACTTGACAGTCCAAACTTTATTGACACAGTGTCTGGTGACAGCGGGCCTTGTTGCCTTGTTGCTGTTCACTCAGCTAACGGTTAGCTAACACAGCTAGCAGCTTTAGCTAAGTCAGCTAGCTAACTTGGGCTAACATTACACCTGTCCTCGCCCGACACCATCTACCTGTCCGAGCCAGTTTTCCGCCTCTGCACAGACACTTTGACGTGTTTGTCAGCTGACACAACTTTTGTTAATCATTGTGAATAAAGTTTATTTATCTGAAGTTTATCTCGTCTGGAAGTTTGCCAACCGACCAACTGTCAGTCAGAGTTGACTCCAGCGGGACCAACGGGTGTTTAAAGCGGCCCACAGGTGAGACAGGTGAGTGTGAGAGACTCACTCGTAGCTCCTGAAGATCTCGTGTGTGATCTTGCAGAGGAAGACCTCCTCGTCCGGCCGCAGGTCCGCCGGAGGTCTCTGCCGGATGAAGGCTCGTCTGTGGAGAAGCGGCATCTCGCAGCAGCTCCGCGTCCGCCGGCAGCACTTTGAAAAAAAAGGAGGGAAACCGGGTCACAAAGACCGAACCGGACACACAAACTGCCGCTAAACAAACCAAACTCCGGTCCCGGTGCAGAACCGGAGTCCTGACCGGAAAGTAACGGAGGGGAAACCGAGCAGAAGCGGAGAGGAGGAGAGCGGGTCTTTTGTTCAGAGAGTCGGTGATAATCTGCCCACATGGAAGTGTGCTCCTCACCGTCTGAGATGACTCTACCGTTTCTACTGTTAAACAATAGAAACACACATTCTACTCCCGCTCCCTGTCGGTAGAACACAGTAGAAACTCGTCTCTGACGGACTTTACCGAGTTGTGTAAAGATGAAGAGATAATCCGCGGTCCAAAGTGAGGAAGAAGAAGTCCCGGGCTGAAGCTGAAAGCTGCTTCACTGGCGGCTTGTTGACCAAGTTTGCATCTACTTCATGGACCCTCACAGAGCTCGGAAACTTCAGAGTTCCGGTCAGATCCTCTGATACACAGAGAAATCAATCAAAATGAACGGATCGGTAAATCTAATCGATGTTATACAAGTTTATAAATGAGTTTGAAGACATCATATTGTCAGAGATAATACTACTACATATACTACTAACAATAATAATAATAATAATAATAATATAAACAGACATGAGTTCAGATAAATAGAGGAAGTGAAAATATATGAGAACAAGAAGAAGTGAAAGTAGAAACCATACAATGATGATAATGATAATTGTAAAAATAGTAAAACTAATGGTTGATCAGCCCAATATTCTCTCGATTAAGTGAGTCACTGATCATTCGTCCTATAAAACAGAGTTCAAGGTGACGTCCTAAATTAATTTAAATACATTTTTTGCATGTTTAAGAAACGATTTAAACTATGAATCAGTCACTAAAATAGATGCTGATTAATCTATTCAATTGTTGCAGCTTTAAATAAATAAAATAATAATAATACATGAGAACGAAGAGAGAGTGAAAGTAGAAGTAGAAACCGTAACATAATGATAATAATATTAATAATGATCATTGCAATAATAATGATGATAATGATGATGACAGTAATAATAAAAAGGCTGCAACCAACAGTAACTTAAAAATACATTAATTAGCCCAATATTTTTAAATCAGTTATTAAAATAGCTGCTCAATCTATTCAGTTTTCTCATCTTAAAAAACAATATTAATATTAATAATAATTATGACAATAATAATAATGTAAACAGACATAAGTTCAGATAAATAGAGGTAGTAAAAATATATGAGAACGAGAAGAGAATTAAAGTAAAAGTAGAACCATACAATAATGATAACAATAATAATAATGATGATTGTAATAACAGTAATGAGCAGAAAAGGCTGCAACTGATAGAATAATTTGAAAAAAAAAGTCATTTAATCAGCCCAATATTTTCTCAATTCAGTTGCTGCAGTTTTTAAAAAAAAATAAATAATAATTATAAGAAGAAGAATAAGATAAAAAGAAATAAGTTCAGATAAATAGAGGAAGTACATATAAATTTGAGAAGAAGATAAAAGTTAAAGTAGAACCATACAATAATAATAATAGCAATGATACTAATGATAATTACAATAATAATGTTGTAATATTAGAAAGGCTGCAACTGTCAGTAACTTTAAATATTAATTGATTAATCAGCCCAATTCCTCTATTAATTGAGTCACTGATCTATGATCTATTTGTCCTATAAAATAGAGTTAAAGGTGATGTCTTCAATAAATTCTGGTTAATTTGATACAAAACAAATAAACTACAATATGAATATTTTTCTTACATGTTTGAGAAACGATTTAAACTATAAATCAGTTTTTAAAATAGCTACTGATTAATCTATTCAGTTGTCACAGCTTTAAAATTAAATAATAATAATAATGATAATAATAATAATAATAATAAATTGATTAATCAGCCCAATATTTCCTCTATTAATTAAGTCATTGATTATTTGTCCTATAAAATAGAGTCCAAGGTGACCTCCTAAATAAATTCTGGTTTCTTTAATACAGAACAAATACGCTGAATTTTATTTTATTTTATTTTTTTACATGTTTAGGAAACTAAGGATCTTAGATTTAAACTAAGAAGCAGTCATCAAAATAGCTACTTAATAATCTACTGTTTGTCACAGCTTTAAAAATTAAATAACAACAACAACAATAATAATAATAATAATGATGATGATAAAGGTAATGATTCCTAATTGTTCACTTTTATTTTAGAGTAGATTAAAACCATTTAAGTCATTAGAATAAAACAGTTTCCCACCTCTGGACACTTCAGTAGGCTCTTGACGACATTAATCACATCAATGGTCATACTGGGAATCACACAGACCAGTTTCACTTTCATTGTCTGAATAACTGATGATGGTTCTGGAATATAAAAACATGTTGCCTCGTGTGTGTGTGTGTGTGTGTGTGTGTGTGTGTGTGTGTGTGTGTGTGTGTGTGTGTGTGATGTTGTATTTCCGAGCTGAGGTTTGTCACCTGAACGCACCGTGCCGAGTGAGTAAGGGGGCGGGGCTCCGCTGTCCTCCTCAGCGTCGGTTGGTCAGACGTCCTGCCGCTCCTCCGCCGTCAGCCAATAGTTGCCGTGGAAACGGTTCCGCTGGAGGACCGTGGTGACAAAATGGAGCGGTGACGTCAGATGAGTGAACGGCAGGAAGGGGTGACGAATGACGTGATGACGCAGAGTTAGTCACACACACACACACACACACACACACACACACACACACACACACACACACACACAGTGGGGAAGGAAATACTCATATTTTTACAAAGTAAAAGTACTAATATTACAAGTACATGCACTTGTATAACTTGAGTATTGTTGCTGAGCGTGTCCATCCCTTTATGACCACAGTGTACCCATCTTCTGATGGCTACTTCCAGCAGGATAAC